TTTTTTTTTTTTTTTTTTTTCCATTTTTTATTTAAATAGACGGAGTTTAGTGCCGTGAGCGAGCCATGTCGTATATGCGAGGAGATTTGCTCAGTAAAACTCGAAAGCTTGTTAAAGGGTTTGCTAAAGCCGAGCCTTTATGGCTAAACTCCATGGAAAAGTACGTTATTTTGTCCTTTTAGCTTGTTTCTTTAGTTATTTGCTGGAATAGTTATGTTGGTAAAAGCCATGGCTGGAACTTTTTGTATTCAGGGCTCCACCTGCTACATTTCCATGCGCGGAGAGTAAGCTCAAGCAGATTAGTTTACCGGAGGATGCTTTCGTGAATAAGTTTTTCCAAAAGCATCCGGATTCTAGGTTTCAAGATGCTATCAAGTACGTGGGTTGATAACTTCTGTGATTCTTATGCGATGCATAGCGTGAAGTCTGTGTTCTTGGTAATTGTTTTTGCTTTATTTTTGTGCAAAAAGGGTAGAATAGAGGATAACGATATATCTTATTTGTTAGTTTAGTGTGGTTTTGAAATTACTGATCATGCTTTAAGTTTTGTATTGATTCCTGGGTAGAAAATCGAGTGGTTCAAGTTTCGTGTTAATGCAGCTTAGTAGTTTGGGAATTCGTAGTTGCTTCAACAAGCTCAATTCAACTTAATATAGCTTGGTTTTTCACTTATTTATGAGCTTATGTTTTAAACAAAAACATACAGCAAATGCAGGGAGAGTAGATGTATGGTTAGGACTTGGGACTAGCTGTACATAAGCATAGCTGTTGTTCTTGTGTGCTTAATATTCTGAAAATTGTATGAAGCCACTTTCCGGATGAGCTTGTAGTTTAAGTAGGAACCATCATCTGGTAAGAACCGTTTCAAAGGTTCCCTGATTCAACATGCTTTTGACATTATTTGTGACTCCCTCTGTTGTTTATATTTTTTGTAAAGCTTGTAAGATTACTAAGAGACAAATTTTAGATAAATGACCGTGTGAGGAATGAGGAGCTTAAGAAAGTTTCATACAATCTTTGCCAAACTTAACCGTGTGAGTTCTTATCGAAGCAGGATGTTGTTCGAGCCAATTCTATTTCTTACAATAAAAACCATAAGATATGAAATGTTTTGTTCAGTGCTTCTGTTTATCCTTTTAAATACTTTCTTAAACTGTAATGCTTGCTTTTTTTTTTTATTTGTAAATCTGTTTCAAACGACACAACGCACCTTGGGTCGCTATGGAAACAACCTCCTTGTATAATTACAAGGGTAAGGTCTGCGTACAACTGACCCCCAGACCCAACCTGTTGGGAATATACTGGATATGTTGATTGATTGATTGATTGTAAATCTGTTTTCAAATATCTGCCTGTCATTTTAGCAAAACTCTATTTTTGCAAAGTTCACTAAAAAGAAAAAGGAAAAAATATTAGAACTTACATGATATTGAAAATATGCAAGGTATCAAACACATTCTCTTTTTCTCAAACCCCTGTGCTAGATTATCATCAAATAATCAACCTTTTTAATCTTTATATATGCACCTCTTTCATTTGTGCACTTCCCCAACAGGATATCCGGTTTTGATCCACCTGCAGCCCGTATATTCGCATGGAGAGTGCTTGAGTTAAAGGAGCAGGGGACCAGTGGAGAGGAAGCTCTAGCAGTGGCAGATGTATGCAGTATTTCTTTTCCTTACTAATTTTTTTTTATGGTGAATTATATTCCAAACTACATAAATAACCTTCCAAGGTATATTTTTACCCGAACTTACTGTTTACATTTTTTTCCGGTACTAGATGGAATATCGGGCTGAAAGAAAAGCCAAAAAGAAGGCATATGCGCGTCTGAAGCAAATTGCAAAGCTTCAGGGGAAAGGACTCCCTACGAACCCATATCCAAGTGCTGTCAAAGAGATTCAGGCCGAGGAGCGGAAGTTTGTTCGTGACCGCTTCAAAAATCCCCAGACCCTACAGATTGTGGAGAAACTGAAAAAGGACAGGGCTCAAGAGATGATGAACCGAAGGGGAGGGTTTTCTGGCCAGTGAACTGGCTGATATGATCTGAAACACGGAGCTTATATGTTTATTCGATCTGAAACACGGAGCTTATATGTTTATTCGAGCTGAAACTTCATTCTGACTAAAGTCTCAGACAGCTTTGGGTGAAACGGAACCGTTGGAAAAATCTAGGCATAGATTTATTCTAGGTTGATGAAAATTTATTGGTGTTGCCACCTTTACTGTGTGCTTCAGTTCGAATTTTGTGTAGAAAGTGTTGCATAATTGATGCCAATGGCTGTATTAGTTGTCCTGGATGATTTGAATATTTTCATTGTATCTTGATATTTTCATTTTACCCGTATTGTGGCTCGACTTCTTGAGGAAAGGTTTGAAATGCAGAAACTTGTACAAGTTATGGTTTTCTTTGTTTATTCAGTTTCAGTCTCAAAGGAGAATTACTACTGGAATATCAGCAGAAGACGAATCTCAACAACATACAGATAACTTGTTACAAAACATCGGCTACACTACACGTCCGAATGACCTTTACTGACCTCAAGCCAACTCGAACCGGGCATTTTCTTGATATCCATATTCACAATCCTCTTCCTCACTTTCCCAGCAGACTTCCAGTTCTCCAAATCAGCAAACATATTCGACAGAAGCACATAAGTCGATGGGTCCTTCTCATCAATATGGAAAGCCTTTTCAGCCGCACGTTTTGCAGTCCCCACATCCCCATGCATCCTGCATGCGCCTAACAATGTCTGCCAGACAATAACACCTGGCTCAAACGGCATCTCCAAAATCCACTTCTCGGCCTCTTCAATTTGCCCGGCCCTGCCAAATAGATTCACCATGCACGCATAATGATCCTCACCAGGATCAATACCATACTCGTCCCTCATGCAAGAGAAATACTTGAGCCCTTTTTCAATAAATCCACCCTGGCTACACGCGTACAACACGCAGATAAATGTGATATAGTTCGGCTCTGCCTTGTCCAGTCTCATTTCTTCGAAAATCTCGAGTGCTTTCTCACAATGCCCGTTTTGGGCAAAACCACTAATCATCGTCGTCCATGAAACAACTGAGCGTTCGGTCATCGACCTGAAAACTCTAGAAGCCCCATCCATACACCCACACTTTGCGTACATGTCGAGCAAAGCATTGTCCACGCACGTGTCAACTTCTTCCTTTATTTTGACCGTAAGTCCTTGGATTTTCTTCCCTTCATCCAAACGTGTCAGGCTGGCACATGCATTGAGCCCCGTGGTAAAAGTGAACCTATTAGGTCTCACACCAACCTTTCTCATTTCACCGAATACCCTTAGTGTCTCGACCAGCTCCCCACAATTTAAACACCCGGCTGCCATCTGAGTCCAAGAACAGACATCTTTTAGAGGGATCTCGTCGAATGCTTTAAAAGCAAGGTCAAGCTTGTGACTTTTCAAGTACATATCGGTTAAAGCATTCCCCAAGCACCTTTCGCGCCCATGGCCCGATTTCACGACCAAGGCATGAACCGGCGAACCCATTTCAAGATACGAGAGCTCAGCCAGGCCCGTTAAAATGGTTGCGAATGTGAACTCGTCGGGTTTTATTCCTTCGGTCATCATCTGGTGCCAAAATCTCGGTATATCATCACAGCTGAATTTCAAAAGGCCGTCGAGCATGGCATTCCAAGACACAACATCCTTTTGGTAACTCCCGTTGAAAACCTTGAAAGCTTCATCCAACCTGCCGTGCCTAATTAGGGAAGTCAAAAACGCGTTGGTCAAGTACACGTTGCTCTCAAACCCGAGCCTGATTATCAGTGCATAAACTTGATACGCGCAGGTTAAGTATAAACTCCCACTGCAGGAGCACGCGTGGAGCAAGCTCACGAAAGTGAACTCGTTCGGCCTGATTTCACTCCTATGCATATCCGGAAAAAGAGAAAGTGCTTCATTTGGAAAACCCTTTTGCTCGAGGCCCGCAATGAGGACCGTCCAAGTCGCCACATTCTTCTCAGGCATTTCATCGAACAGCTTGATGCCGTTCCAGACGTCCCCACTTTTAACATACGCATTTACCAAATGGTTGAAGATGAATACAGAATCGGATGTGGCTTCAAATGTTTTTAGGAGGTTTGCATGGATTGCCGCGACTTTTCTCAAGTTCGAGACCTCCACACACTGACGGAGAGTGGTGGCGTAGCTGGTGGCCAATGTGTGAACCTTCTTTAACTGAGAAGTTAACATTTTGATGGAACAATAAGTAGGATAAATTTTACTCACTCACTTTCTAGAGCTGTATGCTTTCATGAGAAAAAAAGAGCGCTTATGTTATAACAGAAGAAAGATATGATAAATGAGAGAAATAAAACTATATTTGTGGTTTCCTGTTCTGAAAAAGGAAATTCAAAGTTCAAGTGGTGAAGCAAGCAGGGTTTGTAGGTGTTTCTCGCTTTTTAAATAAGAACTGACTGCAAAAACACACTGCATTTCATTTAGAATTATCTTTTGCTAATGTGAAAAACTCTTTCAGTTGTACATTAAAACCATTTTTATCTTCCACAAGATTCTGCAACAACTTAACAGTGAAAGGAAAAAGGAAAGAACGAATAAAGCAAGAAAAGAACCATACAAGTACTTAAAAAAAACAACTTCATAAACTTCACTGTCAAAATAGACACAGCTAACATACTACACTACATTCACTCCAGTTCCTTACAACTTGGACCTGCCCAAAAAATCTCCCAGACTTGGAAACATTCTCAAAACACTATCAGTTCAATACCAAAATCCCCCAAAACTCCAGAAAATTCCTACCGAAACAACATACAACTTAATCATTCAAGAGGAACCAGACTCATGGCATACGGGACAACGATTGGCGAAAATATCGCCGTGGGCCCCAGAGTTGACACGTTGCACAACTTCTTCATCCTACCTGTCTCGAACTCGTACAGGTACATTTTCACTGACACCCTCACGAGCAGCTTCCCGTCCTTGAATGCCAATGGAGTCATCCACGCGGGCGCCAACCCACATGCCATGTTGTCCGATAACTTGTACAACGAGTCCGGATTTTTCTTTTCCAGTATGTCCAGAGGCACATTAACCCTCAGCTCCCAAGTTGGCTCAAAATGGTCCTCAAGAGCCCACAGCTGAAGCCCGTTTCCACAAACGACCACATAGTGCAACTTCCCGCCCGACTCGCCTAAACACATTTCGGGAACACCGGCAAACTCATCCAGTGGCAGAGGGCCCGACACCAGCCAAGAAAGCTCGTTCTTGATGTCGAACATGAGAACTCCGTAGCCTTCTGTTAGCCAAAACGAGACCCCTCTCAAGATCACCTTTTTGTTCCTGACCAAACCATGTTTCGACACGCAACACTCATTCGACCTCCTCCAAGACCCCGTCTCAGACGAATATATGTCGAACAATATCCAATACTCAGATATGTTTCCATCTTCGTCTCCTTTTCCGATTTCGCTGACGGCCACCAGCTGGAAATTAGTAGATTTATCGATCGGATCACGAAACGGGTCGAATGATAGGGAAATGATACTGTCCCGGGAAACATCGTAATTCTTGGGCCACTCTACGGTGGCCCATTGTTTTCTCAGAGGGTTGCAGACGTATATTTTGGGCCGTGAGGTGGGGAAGCAGTTTCGGCAGCACAACAAACCGTTGTCTAGAGAGAGAACCACAACGTACTCCGGGAGGAAACCCAAGACATCGGGCCAAATTTTAGAATTTTGCACGTCGGCTGGGATGTAGCTGATGGACTGCTTGTTCTCAGTAGTTGTGAACTGGAACACCTCCTGGTAGAAAAATCCCGAGACGGGTTCGGTTTTCTTGAGCTGGGCAGTGATAAAAGTGCGGTCGCATATGAGATTGAGCCAGTCCTTGGAGACAAGCTTCAGATGATGCAGTATTTTGGAGGGAAGTAGGGACAGTATGGTGATAGATAGGTCATCATTTGCGAACCAAGACAACCTACTTTTCTTGGACATTCTGGAAAAACGGAGAAGAATTCAGCTGCACGGATTTTATTAACAGCAAAACTAAAATCGCTGTAGCTTCTCAGATATGCAGCATTCACATGAAAAATAGCTGTGAAAGTTTGTTGAATCTAGTGATTGTCAGGTCAGCATTTAATAACTTGCACAAATATTACTAGAAACTGGCTTCAGAACATTATACAGAGATGGGGATAATACAGAAATCGGATTTGTATCCTTGTGAATGAGCTAAGAGGTATAAGAAAAAAATAAATAAAGAAAAACAGAAGCTATGACATATTAAATGCATAAGAGGCCAGAGAATCAGGGGCATGAGAAACCATTGCCGACAAAATCAAGAACTAACAGTAAATTAATCAAAAATAAAAAAGGGAGCTCGGCATTCAAACACACATGCCACAGCACAGAGAGATTAGCAAGAAAGTTGATAAAAGAACAAACCCTTTAACAGAAAATGCATAGTTTTTTTTTTTGTCAGGTGTACAAAAAAAACCCTCTTATGCGTGCTTGTTTGAGTGTGTTTGTAACACTATCAACGAAACCCTTTTTCATAAAACAAAATATGTATGCTCTCAGTACCACAATAAAAAGCTGAAAACCCATACATACAAGGATAATAAAAAATCACTAAAAATGCCGCCTTTGTTCATTTTTTTTGAAGCTCGAGAACTATCACCTAACCAAGTAAATGGATTCAAGAACAAACCTCAGAACAATCTGAATTATGGATTCAAGAACAAACCTCAGGCAGAGTCTTGGAAAAGAAAGCGTTATAGTGAGCGAAAAAAGAAAAAGCACATGGAATTTTGGGGGAAAATGGTGTCTTTATGA